AACAGCAGAACTCGTATAAAGTAGGCTCATCAGACAATGGGTAGTGTCACAGTGAAGTACTGGCGATTACTGGGAAGAAGCCATAGGTGCATATAAGCATCTGAACATCGTTCAAATTACATATGGGTAACATCTCGACTTGTCGATAAGGGTCGAAGTTAGTGCCTGAGAGAAGGGCTGTTTACCAAACGCCAATTTCAGTGACCTATTCGAATGAATGAAGGGAAATACTGGCCTGAACCTGTGGGTGGAATTACCACCCACAACATACCAACTCGTCGTTGACGAGGATGCAGTCAATGTGGTTGGTTGCAGACGACCTTCTGAAATCCATTGTTTAAAGCGTTTCTCACCAGCAGTCAAGGCTTCAGGAGTGGCTCGATAGAGTAGCTTGTGGGGTCGTAGGGCGCCCAGCTGCTCAGCCCTCCGAGGATCCTTCACCAAGGCTGGATTGAAACCAACATAAACTCTCTTACTAGGGCTATCCCCTAAAGAGGGAGTACCCACCCTCTCTGCAGATACGATGTAGAGATTATTGTCGTCGTGAATCACATTACAAGGAACCCAACCTTCAGGTAAGTCACGCCACCGTCTCGCCTTAGAAGTAGAGTCATCGTCAACCGCACATGTAAGTCCAAGCTTTGATAGACCATGGCGACTTGTCGTGAACGATAAACATATATTAGCAATTGCAAGTGCATCGCGTCCAAGAATAACTGGATGAATCATCCCTAATGCAGAAACATAAAACTTATGAGTAATCAATGTGCCCGCTATAGAAAGAGTAAGAACAGCCGATCCCAGTGTACGGAAGCCCTGCCTCGTGGCCGTGGTACACTGAGGAGTATCCGCTGAATTAAGAGATACAGAGACAGGCAGCCTAGCCAAGGTATCGGAATCGATCAAAGAGATACTAGAGCCACTATCAATAAGGGCACGAGTTTGTAGCTTAAATCCTTTGACGACTAAGTCAACAGGCAACGTACACGAGTCCGATATAACTCTGGTCTCATCACCCATTCCAAGAGCAACGGCTTGAGTTTCAGGCCTACATGATGATGGAGCCGCAGCATCATCACGGCCTTCTAGTTTCCCTGCGCAAGTCGGGACTTGAGCGCCAGTGCCTTCTTCTTAGTCTGGCACTGCTCCTCCGTGTGATTCTTGCGCAAACAATAACCACAAATGACTCCCATCGTACGAGGATAGCTTCCACGTACAGCCTCATCGCACTTCTCATCTTGCACATCTTGTCGGGGGCGTTTCTGTACCGGACCATAACCTTTATCTCGTTGCTTCTTGAAGCAGTGAGCTTCGAGATGACCAACTTTACCACAATAGTTACATTTACGATCATCTCGACGTAGGGCACTGATGAGTGTTGGGACCCAACTAGGCATACCAGTGGTCTCCCCCTGAGCGGGAGATGTCAAACTAGAAGCAGGCTTCTCTGAAAGCGAG